ATAGATAGATAGATAGATAGATAGATAGATAGATAGATAGATAGATAAAAAATATATATAAATGTAAGCCATTTGGAAGGACATCTTTCTTTCTTTCTTTGTCTTGAAAATGTGGTCTGATGTTATAAAAAGATCTGGATGCAATGTGCGCATCCAACAATGTTCAGTCAGGTCATATGACAGTTTGTTGTTGTTGTTGAGAGACGATTTGCCCTCCATCCGAAGGGCTTCATCAGTCTGAGGAGTCACAAACAAACATATCACCTGCAAACTGTTTAGCTCACTGTATGAGTGTGTGTGTGTGTGTGTGTGGGGGGGGGGGGGGGGCACAGTGTCTCAGTTGGTAGGGTTGTTGCCTCTCAGCAAGAAGGTCGCCTGTTCAAATCTCGGCCCGGGACCATCGACCAGTCCAGGGTGTCCCCCACTTTTAAGTGACCTTTCTTACGCCTAGATGAAGCTACACACCAAAACATATGTTGAGACCTCACTTGTTTTTCAAGTTATCGTGCTCACATGCACAGATGGACAGATGGAGGGTGTTCATTCCCCCTCTTCATTCTGTGATGGGGGACAAAAAGTTAGACTGAGTTTTTCATACTTGTACCCTCAAATCATATTTTAGGACTAACTATCAGAAATGTTTAAACAGCTTACTTCCTTTAGCTCTGGTCTTCTGCTTCATCCTGTACTTTTCTCCCCTCTTTCATCCCACTATCCTCCCTCTCTCTCTTTCAGACCCCGTCTCCTCCCTCCTTCCCCCACGTCCTCCCTCTCCGTGCTGCATTGCAGATCTAGGTGTCAGCCGCTGGGTAAGGTATCCCTCCTTCCCACTTTACTTTATGAGTGGAGTCTCTGCTGCCTATAAATAGCTGCGGTGCATCTTAGCCACCCACTCCCGGCTGCCTCATAGGCCCTCACACGTCAGGCACACACACACACACACACACACACATGTTCACCCAAACACCCACGGCAGGAATACTAAACACGCAACAAAAGAAAAAAAGCTGATAAGCACTCCTGCTGTCCATACATGAATAAACAAAAGCTGGTGTGAGCATCAAACTGACACAAAGAGACAAAATGTTTCTCACAAAACACTGCACATGTGGACTGATCAGAGATTCAGAGCAAAGAGCTGAACACAGAGGGAGCTGCTGCTGATTTAACATGAACAAACTGTACTTACACAATTTAAATAATCTAGAAAAGGTCTGGGACAATCTATGTGTGAACCTTCCCTCCTGCCCATGATTCATTCCTCCAACTCTGCATATTTTCCTGCCTGGCAAAGCTCTCCTTTAGTGAAAGAATATTAGTCACCCAGTAAGACAAGCGAAGCAAGTGTAACACGATTCAGATCATTTAAATCTTCATAAATGTAAAACTAAGGCTCTACTATAAAGTTCGGTTTGATAAATTAATCTCTAAAACTCTTCTTTAAACTTGAGACACTCCCGTGAGGAGTTTTCCAGACATTTTCTAAAGAGACAGTGAAATAAAATGAAATTTGGATTTCATAATTTACACTACTTGCACATTTATTAAAACAGAGCACTGTCATTTCCTGTTATTATGTGGTTATTTCAGTCATTTATATCACACCCAGCACTGAATATCTCCACAGCGAGCCCCTGCAGACAATGCGCTGGCCCTATTTCCTGAATAATAATTGAGACTCATGAATGTAAACTAGTTCAGCATGTCAGCGATTCTTTCAAATTGGTGCAACAGACTGTTTTATAACGATAGCAGATAGCTTTAAATCTTTAAAAACATCCAATATTTGATATTCTTTGCAACAAATCATTCCCCAAAAGAGGAAATATTTTAAAATATTATTATAAATCTGTTGTTTACTCATTTTTACTGTCCTTTTCCTCATGTTGGTCATGCATGATCAGTAACACACCTGGTATGTCTCCAGGGGCTTGCTCTCCATGTTGAGGTCCCAGACTTTGGCCGTCAGGTAGTCTCTGGTGAGCAGGTAGCGGCCGCTGTGGCTGAACTTCACGTCGGACACAGAGGAGATAATTTCTGAGAAAAAGGAGCGTGCACTGGGGTCCTCCGGCTCCTCAAACACTGCAGGAGCGAGGGGAGATACAAAGGGAGGAGGATGAGTGCAGTTGAACCAGACCCCAGTGAATATTTGTGCATCACACAATGATCTCTCTCTCTATCTCAAGTTTAGAGACGCAGTAGGTTTGCCAAAGTTTTCAACCCTCTTAGTAATCTTGTTATATTGTTGCCTTACAAGCAGGAATTTAATTGGATTTTTATTTAGTTACAAACTGTAATTCTACAAAAAAAATTCCTCAACCATTACTTTCAGAAGTGACTTAATTTGTAAAATAAGATCCACCTGGGAGAAATCAAGGTGTGAAATGATCTCAACCTGTGAAATGATATACATCTGTCCTGACAGCCCCCTGAATCAACACCTGTCAAAGGTCTACCACCAAACATGAGACAACATGAAGACCAAGGTACTCTTTAGTCAGATACAAAGTTATAAAAATTAGAAATAAATAAAAAATACCCCAGACCCTGAACATCCCACAGAGCTCCTATAAATTTGTTTTAGGAAATAGATAGATTATGCCAACACTGCAAAAGTGGCAAGAAACTACTGTTCACCATAACTGGCAGACCAGGAGAAAATGTCGTTAATCAAAGGAAGTACCAGGAGGCCAAAGAACCCTGATGGAGTTGGGCAGTTCTCCTGTAGAGACAAGAGGTTAAGTTCATTGGACTACTATAAACATCACAGTTTTATAGAGTAGAGAGGAAAAACATCCATCCATCCATCCATTTTCTTTACCCGTTTATTCCATTTTGGGTCACGGGGGTCGCTGGTGCCCATGTCCAGCAATCACTGTGCGAGGGGCGGGGTACACCCTGGACGGGTCGCAAGTCCATCACAGGGCCACATAGAGACAAACGAGACAAACAAACATTCACTCTCTCACTCACACCTAGGGACAATTTAGAGTTACCAATCAGCCTAACATGCATGTTTTTGGACTGTGGGAGGAAACCGGAGTACCCGTAGAAAACCCACGCATGCACGGAGAGAACATGCAAACTCCACCCAGAAAGGCCCCTGGACCGGGGTTTGAACCAAGGACCTGCTCGCTGAGAGGCAGCAGCTCTACCAGTTGCGCCACCGTGCTGCCAGGAAAAACATGTGACTTCAATTTAAATAAAATCTGGACTGTTTGGATTTTCTTCTCCAAACATGTGGGAGAAGATCCTGTCCTCAAATATAACCAAACTCAAATTTTTAGGCCTTGTTTACAAGAGAACAATCTCTGGAAACCTTTGTGTTTTTAGTGTTTATAGTGGTAAATAAACACGAAAAATGTATGGAATATCGCTTTTAAATTATTGTATTTTTACCAAAACTATCATATGTGCTGAGTGAGAGGTCATAAGATGTGTGTTGTTTTTGGTGAATATGTGCACAGAAAAGAAGGGGGCAAAAAAACGGTGGTTATGTGTTTATCTGGCAACCCCGATGCAGAGCGCTCAGTGAGCTGCATGCTTCACAATTATATCCAAACTTGTGAATAAGTGAACGTTCCTTTGGACCAAGGATGACCACGCCACTAACCGAACCACACTACTAACAGTATCATGCTGCAAATTGGACCATGTTGTTAAGATAACCTCACTGCCAGCAGAACCACTCTGCTTAGGACCATGCTGCTGTAGTTTTATTTCTTTTTCCACTTTTGGCACCTTGTTTTTGTATTTTTGTTGCATGCTTTGATATTTGCTGTTGGGTTTTTTTTTTTTTTTTTTGGCGAGTGGAGACGGTTCTTCTCGTCCTGAGCATTTTATTGTATTGTTGACCTTGTGTTGATTTTACATATGACAAATAAACCAAACCTGTATTGGATGTTGTCGGTTTGCTCTTACATGCTGAAAAACGGTGATTAGCACAAACAGCACTCTGCTGTCTGCCATTAATTGCAACTGTTGTTCATCTACTCATGCAAGTGCAGAAAAACTTTTGCCTGCAGCTTCCTGTAGTACGCATGTGCAATTCCACACCTCTGCAGGGATTCCCACCCCCAAAAATGTCTGAATTCAGAAACCTTTGATTTCAGATAGAAGCAGGTTTGTTGTTGTGGACACAAACAGCTGAACTGCAGCAGAAAAACCACAGTCACCCTCAAAAATAACATGTAAACTGGGCATTAGGCCTTCAAGGACAACACCAAATTTTGAGGCAAATCTACCACCTTCCATGCTGAGAACACCATTCTTACACTGAAGCATGGTGGTGGCAGCACCATGCTGTGGATATGTGTTTCATCAGCAGGAACTGGGAAACTGGTTAGAGTTAAAGGAAATGGGGATGTGAGCAAAATATGAGGAATTTATTAAGGGAAAACATTTGGGCCTTCTGGAGGTTTGAGAATGGGACAATCCAGTCAAACTCCAGGCCTAAATTCAACTAGAATCAGTTTGATTTAAAGATTGCTGTAAACAAACCGCACCCATCCAACTTGAAGAAGCTGCACCAGTTTCAAGAACAGACAAAAAGTCCACAAGTTAGATCAGGGCTATTCAACTAGCAGCCCAGGGACCAAATCAGGCCCATAGGTGAGCTCAGTTCGGCCCACCAATAGGCTCATTTAAAAAAAAAACCTAGATTTTAAACTGTAAAACAAACTTACTTAATGACAATAACTGCTGGATATCCGGCCCCTGAGCAATTTAGTTGAATAGCCCTGGGTTAGATGGACCACTGTGAACAGACCTGCTCCTGGAACTGCTACAGAACATGGTTCTAGCTGCTTACAGCTGCACATGCATCTTTCAGTTTGATTTGTAACATAGTTACAATAAGTTTTCCTACAGTAAATGTTTTAGGATTATTAAACAAACTAAAAATCCCTTTAAATTCCACTTTCTAATGCAACTAAATAAAAATTATATCAAGAGGGAGGAATATATTTGCAAACCATTGTACAGGGATGCCACTGGTGAGCGACAATACAACAGTCTTTTTTATGCACAAATGCTGTCTGAATATTGCTGTGTATAAACATCTTAGAGACAATAATTATTCTTATAAAAATGTGACATTGCTGAGAAAAATGAGCTCTGTAGCTTCATGTTGGGTACAGCTTGAGCAGGAACACTGCACCAGTGACTCATGGCCAGAGCTGTAAATCAAATGGGAAACATTTCGGCAGAAATAAAAAAAAAGGTAGTAAAAAAAAAAAGCTTGGATATTATAGGGCTGATGCAGAAAATTAACTGTACCATGAACTGATGTGTTTCCCCTTAGTGGGAAAAGATTGATGAAAAGAAAAAGTTCTGTATTAATAAAACAACAGGCCTGAGGCTAAAGGAAGTACTGAACTAAAACTAAAAAAAAAAAAGGATAAATTACTCGTTTTAAGAAACTTCTCAAACTTCTTAAATTTTACAGGATGACCCAATTGGTAAATTGATTTAAAGAGGTTTTGTAATTTAATGTTACTGGCTACAAATGACAACACGAGCTGCTTCAAACTAAAACAATACAAAAAAAAATAAAAAATAAAATTAACAATTAAAAAAACTGCTCTGTAAAAGATATGTCAAGCAAGTTGCATCAAAGGGATTTATACAGAAGTTTAGACTAAAAGCATGTTGGGCTAACAGGACACAATGTAGCTTTGAGCTCCTTACAAGATGCCCAAACCACCTCAACTGGTTCCCCTCGATGAGGAGGAGCAGCAGCTCTACTCCGAGTCTCTCCCAGATAAACGGAGAAAACTCATATTGACTGCTTATATTTGTGTTCTTTTACTTTTGGTCATTACCCAGAATTTGTGATCATGTAGGAAAGTAGACCAACTGGTAAACAGAGAGCTTCGCCTTGTGTAAGATCCCTTTTCACCACAATGGACCGGCACATATTCTGCAATACTGCGGAAACCCCCGTTTGTCAATTTCATGTTCCATTCTTCCCTCAGATGTGAACAAAACCTCAAGATGTTTGAACTCCTCCACTTGAGGCAGAACTTCCCTCCCAACCCAGAGAAGACAAACCACCCTTATATGATGACATAAAGTCTGGAGGATCATCAAAGCAATCACAATTTGTCCCACTGCAATCCATCTGTTGTCAAATCACTGCACTGAAGCCCATGAGAGGGATTTTATTTGTTCATAGAGGAACAGATCAGAGGATCATCAAAGTTATCAGAATTAATTATTTGGAAATCTCGGATGTTTACTTGTGTAGCTTTTGAGATGGATAGAAGTGATACCCAAAAACAAAAGTTCACCAACTGTCCTGGGGCCCTGCAATTCAAAGCAAATTAAAAAAAAAAAAAATTATTATTATAAAATGATTAATGTATGAAGGCTCTGAACATCACTAAGGTAAAAAGTAAGTATTTCTAAGTGCAGAAAAGCCACAAAAAAAAATATATGTATATATATGTATTATCATCACCATCTGAGTGGTTAGACCAGGAGTCTACAACCTTTGCGGTCAAAAGAGCCATTTTTCACCTTTGTTCATGACATTAAACATGTCCTAAGCCGCAACAACTTGCTACAACTGTGGTCATCAACTGGTGGCCCATGGGCCGCTTTAAGTTTGCTGGAGAGGGAGTTTGTGGCCAGTAGGGGTGACATTATAAAGCTAAAAATATCTAATGATTTTTAACATTTATTAAAAGTAAAATACCAGATTCTTGTAAAGAAGGGGGGAAAAAAATCAGTTTTTACCATGTGTTTTTTAATTAAAAAATCTATAAACTATGCAGACAGTTCTTCATATAAAGAAATAAAGCATCAAGTTAAAGTATGTTTTACTCCTTCACTCCAGTGTTCACATATTTGCAAAAGAAATGACAGGAAAACTGAACTAATCATTTTTTGTTGTTTGTACAACCAATAAAATTCAGTTTTATGTCAGTTTTGGTCAAAACTTAGAGCCGCTGCAGAGGGACCAAAGAGCCGCATGTGGCTCCAGAGCCGCAGGTTGCAGATCCCTGGGTTAGACTAAAGTAAATATAAAGAGATAAGACGATTTTAACTTCTCGGCCATGTGTGTCAGCAGGTTTGCTCACATTTGGAGTGCTTGTCGCACAGCGCTGCTTCTCTCATGTCACAGAGACGCAGGGTGCCTTTGCTGCTGCTGTAGACGAACAGGTTACAGTGGTGGGGGTGAAACTCGGCCGCTGTGATCACTTCTGTCAGATCCTCCATGTTGGCTGGTTTGATGTCAACAATGTCTGACAGAAAGAGGCATCGCTCAGGGAAACAGCAGAACATCCATTTCTTTGGGTTTTATCTGTCCTAATCAACACCACCCTCTAGAAACTGTTTACTCGTGTATGTATCCATCTTTGTGGAAGTTTCATTCACTAATTTGCTCAAAATAAAATTAATCAAACTATCAAGACAAAGCCCACAAAGGCCTGAAATTTAAACGCACACGTGTATGTAAACACAAGCAATGCGATCTGAATTATTTACAGCAGAATGAGGCAAAGCAATAAAAATATATCTTTGGGGGATAGTCTGAAGAAAAGTAAATCCATATTCAGACCAAGTGTTATATTATAAATCCTGTCTGGGTCAGGCATGGGACAGGTCTGAGCCCCGATGTGGATTAGAACTCAGGAAGGAGCTGAAATATTTATGCAGCTTCTGAATTATTCATAAGGATATACTTTGACTCCTTACGAATTGTATTCCCCTCCCCCAACATGATGTGTCCCTGTGCATTTCTGTTTACAACAAAGTGGGATTTTATTTGTAGATGTTATTTTGTGAACGTCTGTGTGGGTAAGGTTTATAACTGAGCACGTGTTATATGTAAGTGTGATTATATGGGTTAATTATACGTGTTCTTTTGCTGCACTCCTGCTCATTTATGCGATGGAGTAAGAGTGTGTATTTATGCATTTGTCTTTTTTCACCAATCACTGCAGTGTGTAATTTCACTGAAGGATACTGAAGCTGCGGTCGGTGATGTCCAGATGCCAGAGGTTGATCCTCAGGTCGTCAGCTGACATGTAGGTCTCAAAGTCGGAGTTGACTGAGATGGAGTTTATGTGATAGGTGTGGGCGTTGGCGAACACTCGCCGAGGACTAACCTCCACCATCAGGTCCATGGGCTTCAAGACAGGGACCTGGAAACAAACAGCAGAGCGATATAACATCTATATTAGCTTGGGGATGGGGAATCACCATACAACGCGTATTTTAAATAAAACACTATTGCAACATCAATAATGCAAAGAACATTAAGAAAAACTTATTCTTGGATGGTTCCGATTTTTTGAAGTGGGGTTTTGTTGAAAGTTTAATATCTTACCTGTAGTAGATAAATCCACAAAGTGGGTTGTTGCCACCTTAAATAACTTTAGTCTAATGAAATGCACATTGATTCATGCAATTGGTAATTTTTAAGCCTTTACATTGTTCTCAGTTTCACTTTAGAAGGATATTCTAGCAGAAATACAGGAATATTCCTGCCAGAAATACCTCAGGGTGCACTGGAAGTGCTATAGCTAGCTGAAGCTGCTGTTTGTACTTGCAAATAACCACAGAACTATAAATAAATGCACAGTAAGACACTGACAACAAATTAAAAGTTTAAAACAGCATTTGAATGCACATATTTGATATTTTAAGCCTGGAGTTTGGTTTTGGTTGTGCTCAAATTAGCTGTTAGCTCATCAAACCAGTCAGAATTAAACACAGTTTCTACAAATTATTATTCAGAGAGCTAACTGGTAAAATATTAAAGCTGATCATATTTTCACACAACCCAACAGTGGTGAGAAAAGCTAACCAAAAAGTTAGCTTTGCCAACTCATATTCCGCTAATTAAAAAGTTAGCTTCGCTAATGCTAAACCTCTAAACAGGTTAAAAGAAATTTAGCTGAAGTTAGCCGCTAACTGCTAAGACGACTCTCACTCAGTCTTTGTTGCACATCTTCATCTCCTTCCAGTTGAAGATGCATCAACCAGTCACGTCGATAGTGTGCCTAATGGACTATTTGACACATGCCCACGACAGAAAAGAACTAGCTTGTGAACTTTGTTAGCAGATTTAAAGTTGGCAAAACCTAATTTATCAGAAGCTAATTCCGCTAACGGTTTCCAAAGTTAGCCAAAGCGCTAACCCACTAAATGAATAATTTGTTCAGCTATTATGGTAATTGCTACAACTTTTTCCTCACACTTTGGACTCCATGGCATGTACACAGGAGCAGTTAATTTATGTATTTTATTAATTTATTTTTTTATATTTAATTTTGACAGGCTGCCAAGTTTCCTGCTGCCATATAACATTTTCCCTTGATACTCCTGGGCACTCATATAGCCAGCCAACATATGCTTTGCTTGAGGGCAGGATTTTTTGACAAAGACAGTGAATGCCACAGTATTCATAACAGGTACCTCTGTCGTTCATGGTTCCAATTTTACTACTAAATATCCATAATTCCACTCTGGCCATGTGAGCAGGAATGACCTGACCAATAAAGTACCGTACTCTCATTGAATCACGAGAGCATCCAACAAGACAGACGTGCTTGACAGTTTAGCTTATGTTAAATCAGATTGTTTAAAAATCTGCTGGCTCTTTAGGTAAATAACGATATTAACTGACTTTTTATGTATTTGAATGTTTCTGTGCAGTGCCCTGAGACGACTTCTGTTGTGACTTTGTGCTATATACCAGTAATTAAGGCAAAAATATATAAAATCGCCATCGAAACAGTTAAGATTTTATAGGTGGACCATCGTGTTACATAGTTGTTACTGGATACACGGAACTGTGCCCATCACTGCAACTCATATTCAAAAGATCTGAATAATTGGATAAAGAGCCATTTTAATACTTTACCATGAGCTTTTGTTTTAGCTGGTTTAAAAACATAAACATGGTCGGGCAATTTCACGCTTTACTTAAATCTAAAGAGAATTACTCCCATCACACACGTGCACTCGTATCTCTATAGAATACAACACACACACTTAAAAACCCAGAAACAAAAAAAAGAGTCACTGGTTGCTGTTTTAACTCCAAACAGAAATATTAATCATTTAACCAGAAGCAGCAGCTTCTAACAGAGGGTTTCACCTCCCCCATGAAATGACACACACTCCTGTGTACCTTGTGCCAGTGACCCATTTATGTACATGCAAGCACAGCTATCTTCACTGACCCACTTTCATTGTCAAAGACAGTTCATTTCCTTGTCTCATTGTCATGAGAATGGAGAAAAAGAATGTGGATGGAAAGAAGGACAGATACCTGCAGGGAGGTGACTGTGGACATGTCCTTGATGCGACCTTCCTCATCTTTCAGGTTGTATCCTTCCGGCCGTTTGTCTCTTTCGCTTACCTTCCACAATTTAATGGTCTTATCTGGAAAACAGACATGGTCATTAAAGTTTGGAAATCTCTTAAACACAGCATTTCTAGCTCAAATTAAAATAAACTCTCTCAGACCAGAGACACAGCAAAGTGATGGTCTGATTCTAATGTAGTTGAAACATTTTGAGGTAGAGGAAGTGCAGACCAACAAAAGCAATAATCAGTTCAAACGGCTCCCACATATACACTGTTTATGGACAGGAACAATCTTTTCTACAGACGTAGTGCATTGAATTGAGAATTAAATCTTTTCATTTTCAAAAGTATATAGATGTAAAATGTTAAATACCTTTAAATGTAATATTACTGTATACGATCAGTCCAGCACACGTAGTTCTCCGTTTTGACAGATTTTTCAATCATGCTGAAAATTCTGTCAGAAAACATCTCAGCAGCATTAACACCCAACTGCTGAAGCAGTTCCTACATTTTTTTTATTTTCCACCGTTATAAATAATATAGTACTTAAAAAAATCAATAACAGGGCTCCCAGAGTGCATCTATACATCTTCCAGTATAGCCATAAACTCTGAACAGAAACCATAAATTTAGACCTTTCTGTCAAGCAACACAAACTTGGACGTGAAAGCACTTCAGATTAGTGAAGGCAAAACCAACAGTAACCTTTCTCTACATCACACTCGTAAACATGAATGAGAAAAAATACTCAAATTGTCAGTAACAGCAGCACGACTGAAAGACGAAAATGAACCAACTGCGAGGATTTTACAGTAAAGAAACCAAAAGCATAACTTTTACTTTTTTATGTTTTGATGCAAAGGTTACAAAAGATACAAAGGTCAAAACAGAGACATAATGTTGCTGCCTGTTTGTGTGTGTGTGTGTGTGTGTGTGTGTGTGGGGTATAAATCTACAACTAGTCAAAATGGCCACCACAGGCAACTGGCTTAAGACGCTGACCTAAAATTTCCTGTAGTAGTAGCTGAGACTGTCAAAACATATATAAATGCTAGCAAATCATGAAAAATCTAACATTTTACCATTAACTATAGGAATTAATCCTGTTAGCAAAATATCTCATGAACCACTGAATGGATTTTAACGAACCTTTCAGGAACCAATCCAGTTCAAGATGGCTTCCACAGCTAATCATCACTGACCAACTCAAAGCATGGCTATAATTCATTCACCTTTACAGATACTGAATTCAAATTTGATGCAGTGATAGCTGAGAAGCATTTGCAACACATACTCAGACTTTGACATTTCAAGGTATCAAAGGCCACATCATTTCACAACATGTGATCTTAGTCTGAAACTCTGACATGAAAGGCAGCAGGTGATATCATCACTTCAAGGAAAGTGAGACTTGAATTACATTTGCAAAGCTCCATAAAGCTAAATGCTCAGTCATGTTTGGCTATAAGGCCCTGGCTTCTTTAAGATGTGTTTGTTTGTTTGTTTGTTTATTTGTTTGGAGGGGGAGTCCACTCTTACCATTGGTGGAGAGGAGAAAGTGTGCAGCGTTCTGCTGAGACAGCCATCGAATCTTATTGATCTTCTCCTCAATCTCCAAACTCTTAAGGTAGTCAAATTCAGGCTCATGGCTCTGAAAGGTGCTGTACACGTTGTACTCTCCCTGGGAAAATGGCTCATTCTTGCTCTATGAACAAAACAAAAAAAAAGCATTTATCAGAGAAAAACATGCATTTGTTCTCCTGTGTGCTGCAGTGCAATGCAACTCTAGTCCTGACTCTCTCCTTTATAAAGATAAAGGAGAGAAGCCTCTCAGATACTGGCTTCTCAGATCACACTGTTGGTTGGTTCTCAAACTATCTCTCAGGTCGGAGGCAATGTGTTCAACATAATGGTACTTCATCTAGCTACATAACAGTCACTAATGGTGTACCACAAGGCTGAGTTTTAGGCCCCACTTTTTTACAATTTATATAAATAATGTAGATCTAAACATTCCTGATGCATCCTTGCATCCCTATGCCGACAACACTGTTGTTTATTGCCGAGCTACCACAGTTAAGGTTTTACAGCTTCAACAGTCTGCATTTGACATCAGTCAGTCAGACTTATTCCACCTCAAGCTGTGTTAAATGCCGACAAAACCAAAGGGATGTAGTTTTCCAATAGAAAGTCGGTGCCAGCAACTCTTCCTCCTATCTCATCCATGCACAGTGTTACCATTGAGTTTGTAGATTCTTACAAATACTTGGGAATTTTGGTCGATGCACATCTCTCTCTTTTAAACCACATATTGCAAACCTGATAAAGAAGCTGAAATTAAAACTGGGTTTGTTTTTCATAAATAGATCTTGCTTAACTCTGAATGCCAAAAAACACCTTGTAACTGCTACCTTCCTGCCATTGATTATGGTGAAATTATTTACACGAATGTCCCTGCCAGCTCCTTGCAGATGTTGTTTATTACAGCGCACTAAGATTCTTAACTGGTTGTAACTACCGTACCCATCACTGCACCCTGTACTCCTTGGTCAGTTGGTCATCATTATCTGCACGCAGTCTCTCACACTGATTCATGTTCATCTATAAATCACTCCTTGGACTGCTACCTTCTTATATTTCCTCCCTCATGTCACGCCATCAGTGCAGTTACAGCGTGCACTCTCAGGCCAGCATTACCTGCAGTGTTCCCTCAGTGCAGACTGAACTTGGCAGAATGGCCTTTTCCTATTCCGTAACTTGGAACACGTTGCAACAGGAACTGAAGCTGTCCTCCTTAATTTTTCTAGGGGGTTTAAAACATTTGATAAGGTCAATAGAAAAATAACTGTTCTTGTTTTTAGTATTTTACCTTGTTTTACGGCATCCTGATTTGTTGTTTTATAACACTACTTTTATTTTAACTGCATTTTTACTGTGGCATTTTGTTATTGCTTATTATTGTTGTTGTCTGTTATGTCTAAAACAGGTCTCTCTTGTCTCTCCTGGCTCAATGAGACTAGCCTGTAAAAATAAAGGTTGAATGAAAAAAGAAAAGAAACAGCGTGACTTTAGACAGTCTTTCTGAAACACTGGTGACATCAACTATTTATCAAGTAATCTACAGCCATCTGTGGCTGGAGGGAACCTGAGTGCATTCATCACTGCTCTCACAGATGTAATAAAAACTGAAATATTTGAGTGGACTGTCAGCGTGTGAGAGTACCTACCTCGGGTTCCCTCTGAAAAATGACCACGCGGCCGCCTTTGTCCCCTGTGGCCAGGAGCTCTCCGGTGTGGTTGAACTCGACAGTGGATATTATATCGGCTGGAGACAGCAGGAGACAAAGATGGGGAACAGGAAATAAATGAGGAATGAAAGGAAGAGAGACAAATAATGTAGCTGTTAGATACAACAACATGTTCGTTTTTTCTTGTTTAGCTGAATCAAAATGATTAAAACTACCTGGCAATGCATTAACAAAAATAAATTACATTTTGCAAATAATAAATAAACAAAACATCTTGCAGTTGTGAATGAGCTTAGAAAATCACACACACACACACACATCTATTTCCCAGCAGTCATAGATGTTACTGGTGATCTATTGTGGCACACAGACAGTGACGCACAAGAATCACGAGCTCAGAACATGCAGGGAGACACAGAGCCACCGCAGTGCATCCGAGCTAGTGATTATGTTTTTATCAAGCTTTCATTTAGCTGATTTATTTACAACAATGTTCCCATCAGTAGCTCTGCATCACCACATCACACTCTGTGGCAAAACACTGTAGTTTAGAGAGCGTACACATTATTAACTGCTTGAAGGTTGTTCCGACCTGTTGGTTAGTTTTTAGCTGCCCCATTGTGACCGGATAAATCTGAATGTAGAACTCCCTCAATGAAAGCGCTCTCTCACAGTTTACCTTTGGAGGTGGTCCTCCTTTCTCCACATATGTTTGGTAGTCTGAACACAATCTGACCTGAGCCAAGCTAGGACCTCCTGCTGAACTGATGTGACCCCATACAAGCAGCAGAGCAAACGTACCAGGGTTTTAAAAGATAACATTTTTTAAAAAGTCATCTCAGCAATTGGCTGATTAAAGTTAATTAAAGTGTGATTCTTGGGAATTTTCTGAAGAAGCAGCTTTTATTTATTTATTTATTTATTTAGAGCTAAATGTTTTTAATGGATGGTGCGGTGGTGCAGTTTGTAGAGCTGTTGCCTCTCAGTATGAAGGTCATCCGTTCAAACCCAGCCGGGGGGCTTTCTGGGTGGAGTTTGCATGTTCTCTCCTTGCATCTCGCCGTGTTTTCTCCAGGTTCTCCAGTTTCCTCCCACAGACCAAAAACATGCATGTTAGGCTGATTGGTAACTCTAAATTGTCCCTAGGTGTGAGTGAGAGAGTGAAAGGTTGTTTGTCTTGTTTGTCTCTGTAGTATGTAGCTTTATTTCTCCAATTTAGCCATTTTTTAGGTGATTGTTTATCAAGCAAAAACTATACAGCCTTTATGTGAGTCAAAATGGCTCTGAAGTGTGTTAAAGTCAAAATAATGAATAGTTATGTTAGAATATTGTCATTATTACAGAAACGCCAGTGACAGTGGACTGAATGTTCATCTCTGCTGGTAAGTTCTAGATCTGCCATCTTCCCACTTGTAAATGCAAAGACCATGTTAAACAAAGAAAAAGATGCTGATCGAGATGATTGGATCCTCACCATCAAGATCAGCAGTGAGTTACAACAAATGTTCAGCCTTAAAGGGTGTTTCCACATTGATGTTTCCACAGGACCCTCACCGACATACTGTAACATCATACAAGAAAACGTGTTTCTTTTAGCTCATAACTTTACTTGCTGATTTATGAAGGAACTGTAAAGTGTTTTTTGTTTTTCTGAGGCTGGACAAATAGTTTACTGCAAAGAAAATGTTTTAACGCTTAAAAAAACAGTAGAAAGTTACAACATCTGAAAGACAAATCAATCCAGGATGTTTCTTCCTGTGAATGTTTTCAGATTTAATACTGTTACGTCGCTTTATGTGCAGAATAAATGTTCAAAGTACTTTGGAGATGTAGTTATGTTCCCCTGGCAAGCTGATTCTTCCTACTTTTTTAATTAATAAGTGAATATATAATGTTAATCTGTAAATGTTTTCGCTTCTCTCCATTGGCCCCCTGTCAAATTCAGAATTGAGTTAAAAATCTTACTTCTAACCTACAAAACCCTCAACAACCTAGCTCCAACTTATATTGTTCCATATTTTCCTAACAGAGCACTTCACTCTCAGACTGCAGGCTTACTCATAATTCCTAGAGTTTCCAAAAGCAGAATGGGAGGAAGGTCTTTCAGTTATCAGGCTCCTCTCTTGTGGAACCAACTTCCAGTTTCTGTCCATGAGGCTGACACATTGTCCAGTTTTAAGACTGGGCTTAAGACTTTCCTTTTTGATAAATCCTATAGTTAGAGTTGGCTTGTTATGCTGCCATTGACTTAGACTACTGGAGGACCAATTGACCATACTATACCATACCATACCATACCATTTTATTTATAGAGCACTTAAAACAGCGACAAGGCCAACCAAAGTGCTGTACAGGCAGAAAAACAGGCAACACACAAAGCAACATACAAAATGAGGTAAATCAGAAATATAGACATAAAAACGATGCAGATAATAAATATGACGACTAACCAGTGTGGAGCATACAGGCTCAAAACACAGATCATCTGGTGTTGAAAGCTACTGAATAGTGGTGGGTTTTTAAACAGGATTTGAAAACCTAGAGGGAGGGGGCCTGTCTGACAAGCAGAGGTAACTCGTTCCAAAGTCTTGGTCCTGCTACAGAGAAGGCCCTGTCACCTCTGCGCTTAAGATGAGTTCCTGGAACTGTGAGGAGCAACTGGTCCGCTGACCTCAGGGAACGTGGTGGGACATACGGCTGTAGCAGATCAGAGAGATGGGGGGGCGAAACTGTTCAGCGATTTGTAGACATACAGGAGTATTTTGAACTGGATTCGAAGGTGAACCGGTAGCCAGTGCAGTGAGGCCAAAACTGGAGTAATGTGCTCTAATGTGATCTAATTTCTTAAAATGATTTGTTAAAATGGAATAGTTTTCATTTGAAATTATTTCTATCTTAACGTGATTCTTGACCTGCCATTGTGTATCGGTTCCTCTCAAACCCAGCTGATCGAAGCAGATGGCCTCTTGTCCTGATCCTGGTTCTGCTAAAGGTTTCTTCCTCACGAGAAAGTTTTTCCTTTCCACTGTCGCCTTCATGCTTGCTCAAGATGAGAGTCTGCGATGAAGTTAAACTCAAAGCAGTCTGCTCCTCAGATAATTAATGTTATTAACTTTATATAAATGAATGGTTCTGTTCAGTGCCTTGAGATGACTTCTGTTGTGACTTGGTGCTGAATAAATAAACTGAATTGAACTGAATTGAAAACACTTTACAACACAATATACTACATTTCTACAAAGCTAATCTGAATAAATCATTCTATGAAGTCTAATCAGTGTCAGGGGACACATATCAGAGACAACAAGGAGTTCAGTTTCTTGCCCAGAGACACTTTGACACATGGCTACATACTGGAGGTATCAAACCTTTGACTCACTCATTGGAGGATGACTGAACAAGCGGAACAAGTGGAAGATGGATGGATGGATGGATGGATGGATGAGGATGAGTGCTCTAATGCCTGATCCACAGCCGAAGAATGAGTCTTTCTGATGTTGCTAAAATGCTGAAGTTATGAAGTTTGGTTCAATGTGTCATGGATTAGAATGTTATGACATCTGACATGTCTTTGTGGTCATTAGAATAAAAGTACCTTTAAAAACAAATTTAAAAACAAAATAAAAAATGTTCCAGGATGCAGTGGCACTTTTTAATACGACGTTAATCAGAGCATAGATGCTGCTTTCGGTGCAAAGCATTTAACAGCAATGGCCCCTTCTATACATTGGACGCATCCGTCTGGAAACTTCTCAAACGTTTTCATGTAACTTTAATGTCAAGGCTCATTATTGATTCACTTTACAAGCGTCATTTATTCTTTTGTATCATTGGATGCATGTTTCAAGGTGTGGTCCTGCTTTAAAAGGCAGACAAACAAACATAAAGAATGAAATATGTACCTCAAACTAAATTATGCATCAATGGGTGGAACATGTTTACCCATAAATGTTTAAATGCTTTCATCAATCCAGACACACCATGCACAAACTATAATAATACCTCTGTCATGTTTTACAACAGCCAGGTGTTTATTTCCTTTGTTTATTATCTAGTTAAGAGAAGTCAATTCCCAAAGAGCAAATAGCTAAAGTTATAAAAGTTCCAACTCCGTCTGCTCCAGTATGTTGCTGTTTGCCAATAATAAGGCCCTTACTGTCCTCCCACACAGAGCCCGGCCTCGTGCAGCGATCGGTGTTTCTTACAGACTCAAACCAACACTCTGGCTTTCTCTTTCTAACCTGAAATATTTTGGATTTATTGAATTTATCCAAGGGCAGCACGGTGGCGCAACTGGTAGAGCTGCTGCCTCTCAGCGAGCAGGTCCTTGGTTCAAACCCCGGTCCAGGGGCCTTTCTGGGTGGAGTTTGCATGTTCTCTCCGTGCATGCATGGGTTTCCTCCGGGTACTCCAGTTTCCTCCCACAGACCAAAAACATGCATGTTAGGCTGATTGGTAACTCTAAATTGTCCCTAGGTGTGAGTGAGAGACTGAATGCTTGTTTGTGTCGTTTGTCTCTATGTGGCTCTGTGATGGACTTGCGACCCATCCAGGGTGTACCCCGCCCCTCGCACAGTGATTGCTGGACATGGGCACCAGCGACCCCCGTGACCCAAAATGGAATAAGCGGGTAAAGATCATGGATGGATGGATGGATGAATTTATCCAAATTAAGCTTCTCACTTTTACCATTATTTTTTAAAAAAGCTGGAAACAAATGTCCACTTTTATTACGGGAAAACTCATTCTTTGGCTCAATAAGGCCCTGTGAACACTGAAAATTAAAAAAAGTTTAAGACGTGCTCATGTTGTTTGTACAACTAATTTAAAATCATTAACAGATACTACAAACTGTTGCATTTTTTTTGTAAATTGTTATGAGGGTATTTAAATAAAATATTCTAATTATAATTTTCACAATTTAAAAATTAAATTCTCTGTCTACTGCCCTAAAAGGTAAAAAAATAAGTCCAACCAACACTATACATGTGGAAAACAAAAAGTTTTCCAGCACAAAGGGCAGTTTGGTCTCATTCACAGAGCTGCTCCCATCTTTAAAAGAAAAATGTCACAAGTT